TTTTTTTTTTAATTTGCATATTCTCCTTCCCATCTCTTCTTCTTCCTTGACATCATCCTCTTTCGTAACTTTATGAGATATTCTCTTCTTCTTCTTCTTCTCTTCTTCTTCCTTGACATCATCCTCTTTCGTAACTTTATGAGATATTCTCCTCTTCTTCTTCTTCTTCTTCTTCTTCTTTATCAACTGATTATCTTAATTTAGTTAAGATAAAATTTCATGTAAATATTAACAGAATTCTTTAGTATTATCTTAATTCTATGCATTTCCTCTTTCTCCCTCCTTTATCTTTTAGTTCTATTTCTTCTTCTTCTTCTTCTTCTCTTCTTTTTTTTTTTTTATCAACTAATTATCTTAATTTAGTTAAGATAAAGTTTCATGTCAATATTAACAGAATTCTCTAGTACTATCTTAATTCTATGCATTTCCTCTTTATCCTTCCTTTATCTTTTAGTTCTATTTTTTAATGGTAAACTTATAGTATTCAAATCTATCTAGTCTAGGAGGCCTTGATTAAGAAACTTAATATCATCTGTATAGTATAGATTGAAATAGTCAATTTTTCACTTTATAAGACTCTTGAATTTTAATTCCAAAACAGAATTTAATTCTACTTGCACTTAGTAAAATAGAATTTAATTTAAACCTATTACTTGCACCATATTCTACTTTTCCACTCTTAATACTCATAAGTTTCTATTCTAATTAGTTGTATTTTATTTAATAATTGATCACTTCAAAGTGTTACTCGCTTCACTTTAAAGAAGCGATCGCTTCAGCATTTTTTAGGCCATCGCTTCGCCTTGCTTCGCCTCGCTTTTTGCCTTTAACAACATTGTTGGTTGTTAATTCTATTAATTGACTATTAGTTAAATGTTAATTGGTAAAAAAAAATTTTTAACTATCAGAGTTAATAGAATTAATTTTATAATATTTCGTTAACTCTGTTAATTGATTATTAGTTAGCTGTTAGTTGATAAAAACCTATTTTCAGTTAACAAAGTTAACAATCAGTATAAAGTGAGAGTTCTTTGCTTCGATTTTAATAAGTGAAAGGCTAAAACATACAAATCTAGTAAAATGAGGGATTAAAAGTGTTATAATATAAGGTGAGGGGTTAAAACCTTCAAACTTGATAAGGTAAGGAGTTAAAAATAAAATTTTGCCAACTATAGATGCAGTGAGTACATAGTTTAACAGCACTGGCACAGTGTGGCAATAAAGATATAATAAAAACAGAAACAGACATTTTGTAAGAACGCATTTTCCATGTGGTTAGTCAGCTACTTGGACTCCATATTAGTGCATCCAGTGATATCGGTGAGAGAGAAGAGATGCATATATAGCTCTTTATGTCCCATTCTTGTTAGATAAATGTATCATTCATTGTTGTTAGATGTTTCAGTTTGCACCATTGTGCCGATCCAGCATAAAAGCATCTTCCTCAAGATAAAAAGCAAGTCTTACGATCCTATGATGGTCATACTTTGATCATATTTTGTTGAGAATTCACTGACTTTGGTTATTACTTATTAGTGTAAAGCATTAAAATTGTGTACTTGAACTGAACCAGGCACCATATGTTCAAACTTCAAAGTGAATAATTCAGCTAAAATATGATTTATAGTTGTTTTGCGTGTGATCTATATGTATAGCTCATAGAGGAATCAAAATTATCAAATCTAACACTGGTGAACTTGCTATTACAAAACAACACGATATTGGCATGTTTGAAAGCAGTGAGAGGCAGCACAATTCTAAAGTTGATCATAGATTCATAAGATCAAAGATGATGATTGAGGAAATCAGTCTTGAAAGAACACTAATTTTGTTTAGTTTAACTTCTGTACTTGATAAAAATAGTTGGCAACCTGCTCCTGAACTTTTTACGGTAATCTAATGTCTCATTGGCATGTTCCTTTTGATGCCTTTAGATACACAACATTTATGATTTATTCATGGGGAGGAAGCAAGCTAAAAGCTCTGTCTTTCCTGTGGTTGATACAGGTGGCACAAAAGGAAGCAAGAAACAGGCTTGATTGACTGTAGGGTACGCAAGGGTGCAGGTAAGATTTACTGATATTCAGTTCTTTGAAGTGGTTCGTGGCACAATAAAGTTGTTGGTACCCCCAGTATGATGTAAATCTTCTTCTCATACATATTACATCAAGATTAGGTATCTTCTCCAATAATGCAAGATTAGGTTGTGTTGTGTTGTGATTTCTGTTCTCTTCTAAATGGAACTTAAGGCCTTGTCCCTACCCAACCATCCCGAACAAAAATACAGACACGAATGCCATCAGCCCTGAGTAAGCTATTACTATCACACCCCACAAGCCAAATGCCACCTTCTGTTTAACTTTTCCTCTGTTTCTCTTCTCTTCTTCTCATTCTTTTTACCTCTTAAACTCACAATTCCTCTTATCATTTCTTGCCAAAAACACAGCGAAGAGATGTCTAGCGCCACTTCTGCCGCTGCCGCTGTCCCTCCTTTTCATGAGGTTGATGAATGCAGAGGAGTCCTTCGTGTTTATAGCAATGGTTCCATTTGGCGCTCTCCCAGGCCAAGTTTTGACGTCCCTGTCCACGAGGACGGCTCCGTCTTATGGAAAGACGCTGTCTTTGACCCTGTTCATAATCTTGAGGTCAGGCTCTACAAGCCCGCGTCACCGTCATCTGTCAAGCTCCCCATATATTTCTACATCCATGGTGGTGGCTTTTGCATAGGATCTCGCACATGGCCCAACTTTCAAAACTACTGCTTCCGCCTTGCTTCTGAGCTTCAAGCAGTAATCGTATCCCCTGACTACCGTTTAGCTCCGGAGAACCGACTCCCAGCTGCAATTGAGGATGGATTGACGGCTGTGAAATGGCTTCAAGCTCAAGCCACGGC